GTCCTGCCCCACGGGGCTGCTAAAAGTCAGAATGGACTCGGTGCAGTGAGTTGGCTTCGTTTGTTTTCCCTTCATGTCGCAGGTGAAACGTTGGGCTCCCAAATGCAAAGTTGTGGGTTCAAACCCACTAGCCACTCCATGGAGAGGAAGATCAAGCTGCCCACTCCTGTAAAGAGCCACAGCCTTAGAAACCCTCCAGAGAGGAGCTTGGAGTCAGATGTGACCGCATAGCAGTGGGTGTGGTTTGTTGGTTTTCTGTGTGGCTTGGGGTGCTGGTGGTGCATGTCGGGTGCAGGTGACCACATGTATGTATGACAGAGCAGACAGCCCAGTCACCTCGGCCTGATGAGGTTCCCCAACAGCCTAACCAACACACGTGCTTCCCTATGTCACCCTTTCCTTCATTCCTCCTCTCAACCTCGGCCAGCAAACGGTCCCAAGCGAGGCTCCGTTCCGTGTCAGAGCTTGCTCTGCTCTGCCCCTGGGCTCTCAACGCTCACCCAGTCTTACTCCCCTTGCAGCTGGCCCCAGGGTGTTCTAAGCCCGAGGCTCCGTGCACTGTCACCCAGCTTTAGAAAGGTGTCCTTGTTGTCGGGGGCGGTTGAATCAGCCTCTGGCTCATGGCAGCAACCCCAGGTAGAATCATGGGTCCTGCCCCATCCCCTTGGGTCATTGTTGCTGCTGTGGCTGTCGGCTGCCGTCAAGTGAGCTCTGATGCATCGCGACCGCACACCCCAGCACAAAGCGCAGCACGGCTCTGCGCTGTCCTCACCATCGTTCCTCTGCCTCCGCTCACTGTTGCAGCCATGGTGTCGGTCCGTCTCCTTGGGGGCTCCCTCTCTATCACCCCCCTCCACTGTACCAAGCACGATGTCTTTCTCCAGGGACTACTCTCTTGGTAACGTGTCCAACGTACATAAGAAGAAGTCTTGCCATCTTTGCCTCTCAGCAGCGCTCTGGCCGTCTTTCGCCCAAAACATATTTCTCTGTTCTTTGAGCAGCCCACGGTACTTATCCAGAGCCACAGTTCACATGCACCAATTCTTCTTTGGCCTTCCTTAGGCAACGTCCATCTTTCACGTGCATACGATGCAATGGAGAATACCATGGCTTGGTGCATCTTAGTCCTCGAATTAACATTCTTGCTTTTCAGTACTCTGAAGAGGTCTTGTGAAACAAATAGACCTAATGCGACACATCGTTGGATCTCTTGGCTGCTGCTTCTAAAAGCATTGATCATGAATTCAAGCAGGGGGAGAGCCTTGGCAGCTTCAGTCTTTGCCTTATTTCTCACACTGTCACCTACAGGTCGGGTCGTGAGGGTGTGGGTCTCTTTTACAGTGAGTCATCATCCACACGGAAGGCGGCCGTCCATCTTGTCCATCAGCAAGGGCTTCAAGTCCTCCTCCCTTTCAGCAGTCAAGGTCGTGTCATCTGTATATTGCCAGTTGTGAGGAAACGTCCTTCCTCCATTCCTGACGCCACATTCTTCTTCTTATAAGCCAGCTCCGCTGACGATTTTCTCCGCGTACAGATGCTGGAGCAAGTGTGGTGGCAGGGCACAGCACCGACACACAGCACCTTTCCTGATTTTAAAGCACGCAGTGCTCCCTTGTTCTGCGTTCACAACTGCCTCTGGGTCCGTGGACAAGTTTCTCATAAGCACAGTGAAGTTGTTCCGGAATTCCCATTTCTTCTCAGGGTGATCCACATTTTATGATGGTCCACACAGTCTAATGCCTTTGAATGGTTACTAAAACAGAAGTAAACATCTTTCTGGTATTTTCTGCTGACAGACAAGATCCATCTGACATCAGCAATGGTATCTCTTGTTCTACGTCCTCTTCTGGATCTGGCCTGAACCTCTGGCAGCTCCCTGTGGATGCATTGCTACAACCGTTGTTGGATGATCTCCCGGAGAATTTAACTTGCCTGTGACCTCAATGATAATGTTTCATAGTTTGGGCCTTCTGCTGGGTCCTTGTTGTCTGGAATCTCTTCTAGTGAGTTGGACAGGTAGCTCTCTGCTAACTTCCCTGACATCGATGAGTGAGGGCTTCCAGGGCTTCCTCAGCTTGTTGAAACATTTCAAGTGCTTTTCCAACCATTCCAGGAGCCTTGTTTGTGGCTGATGCTTTCAGTGCGGCTTGAACTTCCTCCTTCAGCACCACTGGTTCTTGCTCAGACGCTGCCTCCTGAGATGGTGCAATGTCGACTAGTTCTTTTTGGTCCGGTGTCTCCATGTATCCTTTCTAGCTTCTTTTGATGCTGCCTGTATCATTCGATATTCACCCCGCCCCCCCCCCCCATAAAATGCTTCAAGATTGCAACTTGAGGCTTGAATGTTTTCCTGAGGGTTTTTTTTTCAGTTCAAGATAAGCTGCTTCAGAGATGCTGAGCATCTTCTTCCACCTTGGTTTTCTAATTCTGGGTCTTTGCATATTTCATCCCAACTCTGTCTCATGCGTTGCCCTTGGAAATGTTCTGTTCAGCTCTTTGATTTCCTCCTTTCGTCCATGTGCGTTGTTGCTGTACGATTAAGAGCAAGTTTCAGAGCTTCTTCTGACATCCACTCCGATCCTTCCTCTCGTTCCTGTCTTTGAAATGACCGTTTGCCTTTGTTGTCTTCACGAGTGATGGTCTTGTCCTCTCATAGCCCATCAGGACTTCTGTGCATCCCGTCTGTCCTAGAGAGCTCCTCTAAATTCAAGTGGGAGAGACGCAAGGTCGTCTTTGGCTCTAGAGCACTGGTTTCAGTTTCCTTCGGGTCAGAGGAGTTCAGGCTGGTTGATCCACAGCGCGTTCCTTGGACGATCTGGAACCAGATGGGCAGGCCTTCCTGTATGGTGGTCAAATCTTGTTCATGCTTGTCAGGGTGGGGGGAGGGGGCACGCAATGACACAAACCATAGGTGGACACCGAGCTTCTGTTCAGGGTGATGGAGAAACTCAGGGGCGACTAGTTGGTGAGGGTTGGGTCACATTGAGGTGCCCTGTTAATGTCACCGACTGCATGTGTGAGATCGTAGGAGTGGCAGATGTCTGGTTACCTGCGTCTTCACCACAATAAAACTATAAATGGAAAGATAATAATAAACTACATGTGTTAGTCTGGGTAGACTAGGGAAACAAATCCACAGAAACTCATATGTGTAAGAGACAGTTTTATACATTCAGAAAGCATCCCAACCCAGTGCTGTCCAAGCCTAGAAGTCCAGCATTAGCCCATCTGTCCAACATCAATCTACAAAGTCCTCCTCCATCTCACAAAACACATGCAATGACACCAATTGCAGGAGGAAAGCCGAATCAGTGAGCGTGTAAGCATCTCAGTGCTGGCAGGGCTCTCCACACAGCTGCTCCAGCACCCAGGGCTGCATTGGGGTAAGTCCATTCGGCTTCTCCTCAGGGATGTCTTGCAGGAAGTTTGCCTTGCCAGCTGAAGCAGGGAACTGTCTAAGGCAGTTGTACCTTGGTGTGACCATCAGAAAGCAAGAGACCTGAGAACTAGAAAGGTGAGGCTCTCCATCCTTCAGTGAATCCCACATGTGCTTATTGGCCAGGTTGGCACAATAAACCTTAACCGTCTCACTATACCTGCAAGGGGCAAGAGTAACTGTTGGTGAAGATCTTTCAGGGACTTGTTTGTTTGGGTCCCTTGTCTTCATTCTGGTCTCTCCCTCTCCTCTCCTCTCCCCTTTCTTCTGCCCACTCCCCTCTCTCTGCTTCACCACCCCATCCAGGTGTCCACCTGCCCCTACACCGTATACGCCTCATGGATTGGGGGCTCCATCCTCTGCTCGCTCTCCATGTTCAAGGACATGTGGGTCACCCAGGAAGAGTACAGGGACATTGGTTTGTCCAGCATCAGTAGAAGGAGCTTGTGAGTGGGGGGTTTTGAGGAGCCTTCGTGGGACCCATCACATCCACACCAACGACAGGCTCAGCCTGTCTTTTCTGGAGCCCACCCATCCCCCGACCCACTGATGACATCTGAGGCTCAGCGGCGGCCCCCTCTGCTTCCTCCCCTGTGCCACCGACATCAGCCGCAGGCTCAGCCTCGCCCAGCTGAACTGACCAGAACTCAGAACCAACCCCACAGGCTGTAATAAACAGTTTCGTGAAGGATCAGCCCTGCCCCTCGCTGGGTTAGGCTTGGGGAAGTGTGACCGGGTGAGGGGTGGCACAGTGGGAGGAGGGACGCATGGGTACTCTCTAGAACAGTGATTCTCAACCTCCCTCACGCCGCGACCCTTTCTTACAGTTCCTCACGTGGTGGTGATGCCCAGCCATGAAATCATTTTTGTGGCTACTTCATCACTGCCATTTTGCTACTGTGAGGAATCATCAGGTAAATATCTGATATGCAGGATGTGTGTTCATGGTTATAAATTGAACATAATTAAACATAATTAAAGCATAGTGATGAATCACAAAACAATATGTAATCATATATTGTGAATTCTTTATATGTTTTCCGATGGTCTTAGGCGACTCCTGTGAAAGGGTCGTTCGACCCCCAAAAGGGTTGTGACCCGCAGGTTGAGAACCGCTGCTCTGGGTGAAGGTGAAACAGGTGGGCATCCTAGGAGCCCTGGGTTCACAACGGCTAACCCCTGGGTCGTTAACCAAAAGATCAGAGGTCGAACCCATTGAAGGTCCTTGGGGGCAGGGCAGGCCAGCTGCTCCCCAAGAGTATGGGCTAGGAAGCCCTGGGGGTGGGCTGGGGTGCAGGCCTCCTCTGTCCCTGGGGTTGGGGGCGTCGTTAAGTGACACAAGCAGATGGCGTGTAACAAGCAGACTTTTACGAGGCGGCTGCCAAAAGCTCACGGAAAGGCTCATGACCAGCTCAGGAAATCTCCCCACAGACCCTGTGAAGCCCCTTTGCCATTTTTCCACGATGCTGGGGTGGGGGTGGGGGTGCTGGCCCGAGGGGAAGGGGCGCTGTCCATGACTGCCCTGTAGGAGGGGCTTGTCCCCCCCTCCAGCGTTCTCCTTGCGCCCCTGGAGGCCGCCACTCGGCGTCCATCTCGGTCCTCGGTGCTTCTTCCTCTTTGTGTCCAACCTGCTCCTTTATCTCTAAAACGGCATCGGGTTGGGGGACACACCCACACTGAGACGGCCTCTGGGACCCCAGTCCACGGGAGATGACCTCCGCAGGCGGGCTGTCCTTGTGGCAACCCCAGGAATGGGAGAACGGGACACAGCCCTGGCCTGCGCCATCCTCCCAGCTGTGGTGTCAGGTCAGGGACCTGTCGGAGGGCATTAGGGAAGCCTGCCCGCCCTCTCGGACCAATGATTCCAGGGGTCCGTGAGCCATCTGCCTCGGTGCCAGATGGATGCCCAGAGCACCACCCTGCCTGGGAATTTTTATGGAAGGAGACCCATTAGAGCCCCATTAGTGGCAATCCTCTCCCCTTCTTCATTGCTCGCCCACCTGTGGTTCCCCCTCCCTTCATTGTTTGGCCCTCCGCTCCTGATGGCTTCACTGATGCAGTGGGGAGTGGAGTCTCGGACTCCCTGCTGGAGTCCGTGAGTCTCGCCGGGGAAGCGCAGAATAAGCTTCTCTCCTTCTCGCTGGCCTGGCTTTGGTGAATCGTGCGGTGAACTCCATACCGACCACTGCTGAGCACCAGCTCCCACGGGAGCCGCTGCCAAGCCCCTGCCTGAGGGCCTTCGTCTTGCTCGCTGCCCCTCTCCCTCACTAGGCAGGTGTCCTCCTCCCGGGGTGGTCCTTCCTGACAACATGCTCCCAGTCATCGAAGAAGAAAAAGTAACTGAGATGAAGTGTCGCCGCCTCTGCTTCTAAGGAGTGTCGGGCCGTACTTCTTCCAAGGTCCGCCTGCTTGTTCTCCTCGCAGGCCGTGGGTGGCTCTCGGGGGTCTTCTCCGGGGCCACCAGTCAAGCGCTCCGAGTCTCCTTGGTCCTCCTGATTCCCGGCCCTGTTCTCACCTGCGTGTGGGGTGACGGAGAGCACGTGGCCTGGCCAGGCCCACCACGACCCTCAAAGCGGCATCCTTGCTTGTGCGCATTCTAGAGAGGGCTTGCGCAGCAGGCTTGCCCAGTGCTGCTCCGGTGAGCTTTGATTGCCACTTCCACCTTTCCCCCTGTTTATTGCGGAGGTGTCTACTGGTCCAGCTGTGAGGATGTAGGTTTGATCCTCACTGGGACCCGCAGGCTAAAATTCCAGCACAAACCGAGCTCAGGGCCACCCAGTCCACTCTGACTCACAGCGACCCTACAGGACAGGGTAGAACTGCCCCTGCGTGGTTCGAGACTGTCAGTCTCTATGGGAGCAGAGAGCCTGTGGCGGCATCCTTATTAAGGAGCCCTGGTGGCACTCGGCTGCTGACCACAAGGTTGGTGGTTCGGATCCACCCCTTGCATCTACAGAAGAAAGGCCTGGTATCTGCTGACATAAAGCTGATGACCCAAGATCCCCCTCGGGCTGTTCCACCCTCCCACCCGGGGCCCCCATGAGTCTACCAACACACCCAGCAGCCATGGCATCGATACCTTGGGGAATATGTGAAGTGAAAAACATATCTTTAAATTCACCAGAGAACCCCAAGACCCGGGCAAATTTGCAGGCGTCGTGAGGACATTTCAAACATGTCTCTTAGTAGCTGATGAGACGAGGAAGGGAACCGGGGCTCAAAGGTTGGGCAGCACAGGGATGGGAGAGAGCGGCTGGTGGCTGGCCAGCACTGGCTGTGCCTCTGTCCCAGGCAGGAGGGTGGCCCAGGCCATGGGAGGAGAGGTAGAAGGAGACCCCCTCCTTCCAGAATAGACCCTCACAAGCCCCCTGCCTTCCATCCTCCCATCACGCGCTCCTCTTCTGCTCCCTGGATGGGAGATGACTACTTGGTCCTGGAATCCCTGCCCAGAGAGGATCCCCTTGGGTGGTTAGCCAAGCTGACCAGTTGCTATCAAGAGGGTCCACGAGGGTCCAACTCATAGTGATCCCTGTGTCCATGCAGAGTCCACGTGTGTTCCAAGTGGCTGTGTGACCTTTTCTGGACCAATCATCGGGTCTTTCTTTGGAGGTACCTGAGTGGGTTTGAACTCCCGGCCTCTGGGTTAGCAGCTGAGCACATAACCATCTGTGCCACTCAGGGACTCCTGCTTAGGTTGGTAAACACTCAATAAAGATATTTTAATTTAAAAAATTATGTGTGTGTGGTAGATATAGATGTAGCAAATCATTTGCATTTTCAACAGCCTTCCCATATATACAGTAATTGGGTGGCATTAGCTATGTATAGCATGTTGTTCAACCCTTATCATTTTTAGTGAGGTGAGCCTCTAATAGTCATCTTGCATACTTTGGACGTGCTGTCAGGAGAGACTAGGCCCTGGAGGAAGAGGGGAAGGCCCTTTAAGACATGGGTTGACCCAGTGGCGGCAACCATGGGCTCGGGCACGGGCACAGCTGTGAGGCTGGTGCGGGGCTGAGCAGTGTTTGAGTCTGTTGTGCAGGGTTGCCATGGGTCAGAACCCAGCCGGTGGCACCTAGCAACAACATCTGTTGATGGAGCCAGGACACAAGAGCAAGCGGACAGGTAGTGATTCCTGCAGCGAGTACCGAGAGAAGACACTAGAGCCACTAACACACTGTCACTGCCTGGCTACAGAGTCTGCTTCGCTGCGTGCAGAAGAATTGACATCAGAAAGACCAAGCCCCTACACCGAGCCCTTCAGAATGCTTGCCCACGTGGAGAAGACAGGACTGGGGGGAAGGACAAATGGATGCCCGGGTCATCCTCTGAGCCTCGAATCCAGCCAGATCTCAACTCTTCAGCTCAAAGATAGTAAAGCTCAATCGCTCCTTCTTTTGTTGTAATGTTTGAATTGAGTTTTTTTTATGACCCAGGACCCAGAAAAAAACATCCGCGAGGCAACCCATGAACATCAATGAAAAATCAGAATCAGAAATCAAGTACCAACCAGTGCTATAAATTACCTGGAGGGGGCAGTAAACCATCAGGGATTTCAGGAGAGTTTGCTTAAGACGCTCCTAAGGCTTCAAGGAGGAGCTGCAGACAAGCAGAGAAGGTGCGCCCCCGGGGTGGAAGGGCAAACTACACAGACGTCAGTTCTTCCCGACTAACCGAGGAGTCTGTGCAGCCTGAATCCCCTCCCATGCGCAGGTAGGGAGGCCTTGCTGACCGGACGCCTATGAATGGAGGTGCGCACCCATGTGGTGAAGATGGACACAGGTGCTGTGCAGTGTGTCCCCGGACTCGTCGATGGAGGACACAGAGTCTTGTCACAAAGAGCGGAGGCACAGTCCCAGAAGGTCGGTCAAGTGAGGCACAGCGGAACCCACGTCTGGGGTGTTGGATGAGAATCAGTTACCTATGCGGGACTGCCTCCCATCTGTCAGGGAGCCATACGGTGGTGGCCTGTGCGCTGCTGTGCAGCTGATGCCTACGATGGCACCGTTTCACAGACC